AAGAGATAAACTTCTCTCAGGGAAAGCAAAGAAAAAAATTATCAGCAGATCCTGTTCATAGCTCACCGTAGATCTTAGGTTCTTTTCTTGTTCTTTAAAAAGAAAATCTCTCTTTGTCTATTGGTTTTTGTACAAGAAGTACATGCTAATAGTATCTTTATTGCTGTTATCTTGATTTTTTTCTCTAAATAGTCATTGCCACACATGAGTTTGGTAAATTTTTTGTCCTCTCATGTATTGAAAATGTATTGAAATTTGTTTATAATTTTTTTCAATGTTCATTTTCTATATATCTTAATAATGGTAGACTAGTAGCTCTTAACCTTTTTCAAACCAGGAACTCCTTCAGCCCCTCTCCCAAATAACCAAGACCCTTTCGCATTGAGCAGTATGGGAAGTACAGAGTGTTTGCAATCCCATGACACATGTTCACAACCACCAGACTGACATCCCTCACTGTAGACAAAAGGCAGTCTGATTATTTGCTTTCTTGTGGATGCTGATATATATACGTATATATATATATATAGACAATGTACAAAACATTTTAAGACTTAGTGAAGCTATGACTTTTTAAATTAGTATTATCATTGTCTATCATTTATGATAGATTTATATATAGTTCTAATTGAATAAATAATGCCAGAATCAGAAATACATATTGAAATACCTAAGTTTCCAGAAGAGAGAAAGCCCACTGAGAGGAAACCTACTATATTGTTATAAACTATTGACGTACCAGACTGCATAAATATTTTGCTCTTAGTTTTACATCTACTCAGTCAATAAAATATCAAAAATTATCTTTTAATAGAGCAGATGTGTGGGCTTTCCTTATGTGTGGTCTTGTTAGTTCCAGAAAATGGTGTTTACAGTATGTTTAACTTTTTCTTTCTACATAAGAGAGAGCCACTGTAACACACTTGTTCTCTAAGAGCGCAAGTATTAAAGTCTGTCATGAATTAACAGAATGCAAATGACTAGATTCAGTAACTTAAAACACAGAATAATTTAGCCCCGTCTGTAAAAAAGGGATAATGGTACTGATTCCCTTTGTAAAGAGCTTTGGGATCTGCAGATGAAAAGTGCTCTATAAGAGCTAGGTATCAGTAGTTGTATAATGGAGCCAAGCAGCATTTTAAAAGAGGACTCTCATACTGTAATAGGGATCATTCAGTCACAAGAAAAATACATACAAAATGGGAACAAACATATGCTTGATACACATACTAAGGAAAAAAGTTATTTTGTGGCATCTCAGCCTTATAGAACATGGCGAGTAAATAGAGATCATAGAAAGGTAGGAATGGAAGGGACCTCGATAGATCATCTAGTCCTGCACTGAGGCAGGACTAAGTATTATCTAGACCACTCCTGACAAGTATTTGCCTAAAAATCTCTAATGATGGCGATTCCACAACCTCCCTAACTAATTTATTCCACTGCTTAACTACCCTTGTTGTTAGGAAGTTTTTCCTAATCCTCCTCTTTATGTCCCCCAATTAGTCTTCTCTTCTCCAAACTAAAATCACCCATTTTTTTCAGTCTTTCCTCTTAGGTCTGGAGTTCTAGACCTTTAATAATTTTTGTTGCTGTCCTCTGGACTTTCTCCAATTTGTCCACATCTTTCCTGACATGCGGTGCCCAGAATTGGACACAATACTCCAGTGGCACCCTTATCAGTGCTGAGTAGTGTGGAAGAATTACTTCTTGTGTCTTGCTTACTATACTCTGAATACACCCCAGAATGAGGTTTGGTTTTTTTGCAACAGTATTACATTGCTGACTCATATTTAGTTTGTGATCCACTAGCACTCCCAGATCCTTTTCTGCAGTAATGCTTCCTAGGCAGTCGTTTCCCATTTGTGCAATTGATGATTCCTTCCTAAGTGCAGTAATTTGTATTGAATTTCATCCTATTTATTTCATAGAATTTCTCCAGACTATTTCTCCAGTTTGTCAAAATCATTTTGAATTCTAATCCTGTCCTTCAACTGCTCCCAGCTTGGTATTATCCGCGGACTTTATTAGTGTACTCTCTAGGCAATTATCTAATGTCATTTACAATGACATTAAATAGACCCAGGACAGATCTTTGCAGGACCCCAGTCAATATGCCCTTCCAACTTGACTGTGAACCACTGATAACTACTCCAAGGACAATTTTCCAACCAGTTGTGCACCCACTTTAGAATAGGTATGTCTAGACCAGTGGTTCTCAATGACTGGTGCATGGGCCAGCACCATTCCCTGAGATCTCCCTGACACAGTTTAGGAAAGCAGCAAGCTAGTCCCTGGTATCAAAAAGGTTGAGAAACACTGGCCTAGGCTATATTTCCCTAGTTTGTTTTTGAGACGGTCACATGAGACGATATCCAAAGCCTTACTAAAGTCAATATATCACACTGCTTCCCCCTTAACCACAAGGCTGGTTACCCTGTAAAGAAGGGTATTAGTTTGGTTTGACATGATTTGTTCTTGACAAATCCATGTTCACTGTTACTTATCACCTTATTATCTTCTAGGTGCTTACAAATTGATTGATTGAATATTTGCTCCATTATCTTTCTGGGTATCAAAGTTAATTATACTGCTCTATAAGTCCCTGGGTTATCCTATTCCCCTTTTTGATAGGCCCTTTTCCAGTCCTCTGGGATCTCTCATGTCCTCCATGACTTCTCAAAGATAATCGCTAATAGCTCAGAGAGCTCTTCAGCCAGTTCCTTAAGTATTCTAGGATATATTTTGTCAGGCCCTAACTTGTCTAACTTGTCTAAGTAATTCTTATCTTGTTCTTTTCCTATTTTAGCCTCAGATCCTACCCCATTTACACTTATGTTCCCTATGTTAGTTATCTGATCACTACTAACCTTTTTGGCGAAAACTGAAACAAAAAAGGCATTTAAAATTTCTGACATTGCGGCATTTTCTGTTATTGTCTTTCCCATGTCATTGAGTAATGGGCCTACCTTGTCCTTGGTCTTCCTCTTGCAGCTAATGTATTTGTCAAATGTTTTCTTGTTACCTTTATGCCTCTAGCTAGTTTAATCTCATTTTGTACCTTGGCCTTTCTAATTTTGTCCCTATATGCTTATGTTTATTTTTTTTAATATATTCATCCTTCATAATTTGACCTAGTTTCCATTTTTTGTAGGACTTTTTTTGTTTCACATCATTGAAGATCTCCTGGATAAGTCATGGTGGTCTCTAACCATACTTCCTATCTTTCCTCTGCACTGGGGTAGTTTGCTCTTGTGTCCTTAATAATGTCTCTTTAAAAAACTGCCAACTCTCCTGATCTCTTTTTTCCCCTGGACTTGCTTCCCAAGGATCTTCCCTACCAGTTCTCTGAGTTTGCTAAAGTTTACCATCTTGAAGTCCATTGTCTTTTTTCTGCTGTTTTCCCTCCTACCATTCCTTAGAATTATGAACTCTTATCTTTTCATGATCACTTTCATGTAAGCTGCCTTCCATTTTCAAATTCTCAACCAGGTCCTCCTTATCTGTTAGAATCAAATGTAGAACAGCCTTTCCTCTTGGTTTTTTCTCCACCTTCTGCAATAAAAAGTTATCTTGAATGCATTCCAAGCACTTGTTGGATAATCTCTTTTCTGCTGTATTATCTTTTCAACAGATGTCTGCGTAGTTGAAGTCCCCAATAACCACCAAGTCCTGTGCTTTGGATGATTTTGTTTTAGTTGTTTTTAAAAAAAAAGCCTTATCCACCTCTTCTTCCTGGCTAGGTGATCTATAGTAGATCCCTACCATGACATCAATCTTGTTTTTATGCCTTTTATCCTTACCCAGACACTTTCAACAGGTCTGCCTCCCACTTTTGTCTCAGTGCAAGTTTATATGTCTTCGATATACAAGCCAACACTTCCTCCCTTTTTTTTCCTGTCTGTCCTTCCTGAACAAGCTGTACCCTTCTATACCAGTATTCCAATCATGTGAATTATCCCAAGTCTCTAAGTATTACAGTGATTGGACACTATATAGAAACATAGAGCTGGATACACACAAGGGAACAATTGTCCTTTCCTAGAAAGCATGTAAATACTACAGCTACACACCTACCTATGATAAATAGATTGATTTGCCTCCACTAGAGACAAGATTTTGTTAGTGAAGACTGATTAGTTAAAGTATGCTTAATGGAAGCCTGGAAGTCACTATGGTTTAGTAGTCTACTAAGAGATTTGGGAATTTTCTGTAGAATCTTACCTTAGCATGAATTTACCCCGAGGAGCGATTTGTCTTGAATGGTTGGGATTGATTCTCTAGGGCCTACACAAGTTCTTTGCTGCCCCTCTTAAGGGTTGCACCTGGGAGGCCTGATATCAACACTGATAGGTTAGGACTTTAAACATGTCATGGAAGTCAAACAGCATGAGAGAGAACTTACGGATCACTGATTGTATACATAGAATTGGCAGATCCCATTATTCAATAACCATTGGAGTTCTTTTCAGCTAGGCATGGATTGCAGGACTGTTTCATACACAGACATTGATTTAGATTTCTCTTTTTAAAAACTGCCATAAACAGGCATTTAATATAGCAAACACTATGAAAGTACCGATAAGGATTTCTAACTTTCAACCATAAAATCAAATTTAGAATTAGGAGAGTCAATCTACAGTATCTTTGTTATTCCAGATTTTCTCTCTGTTTCACACAGAGCATATATAACTTACTCCAAATTTTCTCTCTCTCTCACCCACCATATCCACAAATAAAGATCAACAGAACCAGCAATATCTGAAGTCACTCCTATTGACTTCAGTGAGTGTGCATCTCTGAGGGCAAATATTTGGTCCTACAAGTTGTATTCATTTCAGATTTATGCAATATATAAGCAGATAACAAATAGAAAACTTCCTTAGGCATGTGAATTCAACTAAAGCAGACCCTGAATATTATTTTTATTTAAATATATAGAGATATATAAATAAATGAAATTTAACCTATTTTTGATTATTTCATTCCTCCATATCTAGTTTTGACCTTGGATATGATTATCTGGTTAGTCTTTACAATTAATTGCTTATGTCTTCTCATTTTAACTAACAATGGGAATAAACTTGTTTGAAATCTATTTTTGCATTGTATCCCACTGTGAAATTGCTTTTCTTGTGTTATCCTTTGTTGGTCTCCAGGAAGTGCCTCCTTTTGTTCAATTTATTTCCTGTTTGTTAGGGTGGGTTCATGTGCTGAAATACTCGAGAGTTAATGAAATGATTGACTGTTAAAGGCCTGCTCCTGCAGCCTGTACTGATGTGAATAATCCCATTGATTTCAGTAGGAGTAGTCACATGAAAAAGGGCTCTGCTCAGGCCCAAAGGTACCACTATGCCTATGGCATGCTGAGGGAGTTGAGTTTAGGCTGTCATGCAAACTAAACTCAGAAATTCTCAGCTGTTTCAGTTTTTAATTTTCAGCCTTACTGTTGAACTCGTGTTTTTTGTTTGTTTGTTTGTTTGTTTGCATTAGTGCCAAATCCTGGATCTCAACACAATGTCTAAGGGGCTGAGGAAAGACTCATCCTGTGGGACAGAATGATTGGTGGATCTATGTAGTCACAGATCCGCTACCATTCTCCACAAAGAACTTGATTTTGAATTCAGTGAAATTATTCATCTGATTAAGTTTCAGGGCCAGAGAGCTCAGCATCTTGCAGGGTCAAGCCCCCAAATCCTTGCTGGCTGGGGAGCAGGAAGCCCCCATGGAACAGAACTCTGATATGTGCAGAGACTGATGACCCCCTGCTTCCTTTTCCATAGCAGAACAGCACTAGTTCCACTGGGTTGAGTTTCTCTACAGCATCAGAGGAGGGAGCAGGATTTGGCTCCGATGATCATTAATGGGACAATGTTGCAGCTAAGATAAAATGTGACATTATTTTGTCCACAAATATTGGGTGTGAAGTTGTTTTTGCAGAAGTTATGTGGATAAAGGTCACTTTGCAAAATCAAGGGAGGGATTCTCCATCCTGCTATGGCCCCTTTACTCAGCTTTTGTGCCTGGGAAATTTTCCTGTCATAAGAACTGAGCCAGGACAACCACAGGTTATCTTATGAGACCCCCTCCACAAGTCCTGACATAGGCTGTGGGGCTTGGTGTACGACCAGAGAGTAGAGGGGCAGGCCAGGGGAGGGCTTTAGCAGATGTTGCTTCATTAGTTTTTGGGCTGCTGTACCTTAGGGTTGTCCAAATTATGCTAAGGGCCTTTTTAGCCCTCATAGAAGCCTGGAATTGGGCAAGCACAAAGGTGACCTTAGCCACCCACTTCCTTGGGCCTCAAGTTTTGTGCTGAACTTCTGGGAAAGAGCTCTAATTCTTTATAAGCCTAATCCAGTTCCCATCAAGGTCAACAAGAGGCTTTCCGTTGATTTAAATGGGAGTTGGATCAGGCCCTGTAGGGGATGCTGTTACAGTTTCCTATCTAATTCATTGTGGGTTGTGTATTTTTTCTTAAAACAGGAAAAACTCTGATTACTCAAGAAAAAAGAGTCATGACTTATGACCAAATGCACAGCGAAGTAATCAGATATGGCCAAGGCACGACTGGGGAAGGAAAAGTAATGAAGATTTAGCCTGAGAAGAAATGGAGGGGTTATGAAATGCACTTAAACTTCTTTGAATGGGAATGCTTAAAAAATAAAATAAAAATCAATGAGCTTGATGCATTGTATTTAATGTATTTCTCATGGAAACGGTGACATCTCTCATTTATTACTGGGACAATTGCTATTGTGTACAAATGAAAATAGTTTTCTGTTTGAGAAAGCCAAATCATTTTAGCAATAAGCAGTTTGACGCTTGAGGGGAGAGAAATCAACTGAAATCCAGAAAGACAAGACATTGTACAGATCTGCACCTTTATCAATCAATGTAAACAGAAGAGAGCATTCATTTATGTTTCTCATGCTTGTGGGTTACAACATTGCTATTAATATTCAGGGATCACCGGTGATACAGAATGTATTTTGTTTTACTACAAAAAGATATTTTTCAAGCAAATGGTGGCAATGTAGATGCTTTCAAACCTTGTGTTGAAAATGTTCTGTGTGTCTGAGCTAAAATCCAGAAAGGCAACAATAAAAGGCTGATTTTTTTTAAAAGTGGCCCTTTGGTACTAAATGGCGAAAGCCTTGTCTAGTTATATATCTTTGACACAGGTGGTGGTTGGTCTTTAAGATAAAAATGGAGCATAATTTGTTGGTTGTCTCAGACCTTTCAGTAAAAATGCATCTCATGGATTTTATTATGACTAAATCCAAGAGACAAGAGCAGGATGTATATATTTTACACAACAAAAGGTTAATTTATGTCCTTTCTAAATGGTGATTTTTGATGTATCAGAATATATAGAGAAACTAGGATCTCTCTTCATTCAATTAACTGCATAAAAGGTGGGAGGATTTCAACAGTCTCTTGTGTGCTATCTGTTTCCGAAGAATATATATAAAAGCACCCTTTTTACTTTGAATCGCATCTGTTCAGTTGAATTTCATGGGGGTGTATGCTGTTGTACTGATGATAATCAATTACCAGAGTAGCCATTGTCACTGTATTAAAAGTCACCAGGACTCCATTCAGTACCTCATCAATAGGATTATTAGTCACTGTGAACCCCACATTTTAAATAAAATAAGTGCCTTTGGTAATTCACTTGGATTTCCCAAGAGGTACATAGTGAGAACAAATAGATCTGTACAAAATTCAAGCATGTCAGTGATAAAAGTTTTGTTAATCCTTAAATATTTAATGTGAGAAAGTTTATTGTAAGTACTCAATGGACCAAATTCTGATCAGTTACAATGGTATCGATTTCAGTGGAATTACTCTGAATAAAGTCAGATCAGAACAGGGTGCAACAGATAAAACTAAGGATAGAAGATTTAAGGGAGAAGAGGGACTCACATAAGTGACAGTAAAAGCAAAAGCCTGAAGATTATTTTTTCTTCGGTAAATGCAAAACAGAATGCAAAAGGACATCTGTAATATTCTAAAGCTAGTTTTTAACTCTGATGTGTTTAGCTACTTCACAGACACTGAAGCACCTGTATTCAGAACAAAGTGGAATGTCACGCTTTCCTTTTAGATAAAGTCGTACCAAAACCTTAACTTCAGATTTAATAGAATAATTGTACATTATTAGATCTATTATTTAAATGAATTTTTGTAATATGTACTAGTATTACAATTTTCTGTGAAATTCATTGTAAATATTGTGACATTAAATTTAATCAAAAATATATTCTATTTGTAAATGTTGTAAGAGAAATGTTATCTGAGGGGTAAGAAGCAAGGAATGCTTCAAAAAACTGGTGGATGGGGAGCTACAATGAGGGAATAGGTGCTAAATGCTTTTGGACCAACATTGCCCGTGAAAACACAAGCAGTACAAATCTATAATATCATCGTGTTGCTTCAGCCAATGATCTTGTTCCCATTTTGTCTAACAGATTTTAAGAGGCTGAAATGACAGGCACCTGCCTAGCAGCCATTAGTGCTTTTAAAAATCCAGCCTGAATTTCCATCTCTTTGTTAAATTAGAACAATGATCCCTTAGAAAAATAATGTAGGTCATGCTACTGGTATTTATTCTAAGAAGAAGAATATCAAATAGAGTACGTACAGTGAGCCAAGTTTGGCATTTCCCTATCCCCAGCATGGGAGAGCTGGTGGAGAGTATTGCGTCATAGTAGGTTACAGTTCCACACTTATCATTATCATCATCACCATCCAACAACAGTCAATCAACTAAACAATACATCTGGGTTACAAAGAATACTGGAAATCATAATATACTGATATTTTATCATGCAATACAGAGCTCATTATTCCAGCTGTGACCTTCCTACAATCCCATCTCCTGCCAGACTGAGCAGTAGATGGCAGAGCTTACTTTGCTAAGGAATGATCAAGGCTTCCCTTAAATACCTACACACCTAGAATACATTAATTAAATCATGTGCACAACATGCGACAGGGTAAGAAAAGGAGTGTACAAAAATGCCAATGGGTAATTTGATCATCTGCATAAAATGACACTTGGCACTTCTCTGATGCCTTCCATCTGCAGTTCTCCAAGTGCTTTACAAACATTAAATTAAGCCTCATGTAAGGTGGGCTGGTATTATCCTCATTTGCCACATGAGTAGAGTAAGAGTTTAAGTGATCTGTCCAAGGCTGTAGCAAAGCCAGAAATAGAACTCAGGGTTTCTGGCTCCAACATCTGTGCCTTAACAAAAAAGGAGTCTTCGCTGCTTTTCCTTTCTCATATTAGTATTTCACCTTCTAACATTAGCTCTAGATAGGGTGGCCAGACAGCAAATGTGAAAAATCAGGATGGGGGTGGGTGGTAATAGGAGCCTATATTAGAAAAGACCCCAAAATTGGGACTGTCCCAATAAAATCGGGACATCTGGTCACCCTAGCTCTAGATAACTTGTAAAATAGCTGAAGTTTAGTGTAGAGTATAATTATTCTGTTAGTTTTTGTGGTCATGGATGATTTGTGGAGTAATGGTCCGAATTTGAATTCTGAGAGGTTACACTGATATGTGGGTGAACTTAAGCCACCTTAAAGGGGCCTGATTTTCAAAAATGCTGAGCACTTGCACTATGAAAATTAGGTTCTTTTTAGATGTCTGAAGTTGGGCACACACACAAAAATGGGAGGAACTCACGGTCAGTAGTCACTTTTGGATATGCCAAAAATACAAATGAACCAACAAATAAGGTTGGGGTTTTCAAAGGCATCTAGGGGAGTTAAGTAATCAAATCCCCATAAATATTAATTTGATTAGAGTGCCTAACTCCCTTAGGCTCCTGGGAGAACTCCCAGTTTAAGTACATACAAAAAATATAAGATGTTAAGATGCAATGTTGGGCTCATGCCTCTTTCAATTTCTTTCCCATCTAAAAAAAAGCCCCTTTACACTTTCACCCACAACTATTTCACATTTGGGGACAATGTATACCTTCAAGTCAGCGGCACTGCTATGGGTACCCGCATGGCCCCACAGTATGCCATCATTTTTATGGCTGACTTAGAACAACGCTTCTTCAGCTCTCGTCCCTTAACGCTCCTACTCTACTTGCGCTACATCTTCATCATCTGGACCCATGGAAAAGAAGCCCTTGAGGAATTCCACCATGATTTCAATAATTTCCATTCCACCATCAACCTCAGCCTGGACCAGTCCACACAAGAGATCCACTTCCGGGACACTACACTGCTAATAAGCGATGGTCACATAAACACCATCCTATACCGGAAGCCTGCACATCTACCAATGTGATATATGCCATCATGTGCCAGCAATGCCCCTCTGCCATGTACATTGTTTAAAACCAGACAGTCTCTATGCAAAAGAATAAATGGACACAAATCAGCCGTCAAGAATTATAACATTCAAAAATCAGCCGGAGAAGACTTCAACCTCCCTGGTCACACAATTACAGATCTCAAAGTCGCAATACTCCAACAAAAAACTTCAAAAACAGACTCCAACAAGAAACTGCAGAATTGGAATTAATCTGCAAACTAGACACCATTAAATTAGGCTTGAATAAAGACTGGGATTGGATGGGTCATTACATAAAGTAAAAACTGTTTCCCCATGATAATTTTTTCCTCTACTGTTACTCACACCTTCTTGTCAACTGCTGGAAATGGGCCATCCTGATTATCACTACAAAAGTTTTTTTTCTCCTGCTGATAATAGCTCACCTAATAGCTCACCTTAATTAATTACTCTCATTACAGTTTGTATGGCAACACCCATTTTTTCATGTTCTCTGTGTATATATATCTTCCTACTGTATTTTCCACTGCATACATCCGATGAAGTGGGTTTTAGCCCACGAAAGCTTATGCTCAAATAAATTTGTTAATCTCTAAGGTGCCACAAGTACTTCTCATTCCCTTTACACTTATATCTGTTCTCCATTTTGCTTGAATAAGTGATATACTGAACCCATATTTCCTCAAACTACAATTTGTGCAATACTTTCTTTTCTGTTGCTAAATTAGATGAGGCTCATGTCCATTCTGCAGCAGAGAATTCCAGTTTTTTAAACAACTTTGGTTTTTTACAAGTCTACGGAGACCCACCAACATCACGCTTCCTGAACCGCCACAGCTGTGTTTGAGTTCACAGGATATTTTTCACCATGCTATTTTACATTTAACTTCCCCCCCCGCCCCAGACAAGAGAGTATGACTTTCTTTCATCTTTCTACCTAATTATATTGCACTCTTCACTGTTGCATCTAAGCACTTTTCAAAATTACATAAATCCAGACAAGTGGCGTACGAACAGACCCAGTAGTATTCACTCTCATTTCCTTCTGTCAAAGAAAAGGAAAAACAAAAGGTTTTTAATATTTATTAATATAATTATCATGTTTTTAATATGAGGATGGAAAATCTATGGGAAAGAGGAGAGTCTTGCATTTTGTCTTGAAAACAGTCAGGTTTGTGGTCATTCTTGTGGAAGGCACTGGTGGGAGGGAGTTTAACAGAAGTTGGCTAGCTACTAAGGGCAGGTCTTCACTACGGGGGGGTCGATTTAAGATACGCAAATTCAGCTACGTGAATAGCGTAGCTGAATTCGACCTATCGGAGCCGACTTACCCCGCTGTGAGGACGGCGGCAAAATTGACCTCCGCGGCTCCCCGTCGACGGCGCTTACTCCCACCTCCGCTGGTGGAGTAAGAACGTCGATTCGGGGATCGATTGTCACATCCCGACGAGACGCGATAATTTGATCCCCGAGAGATCGATTTCTACCCGCCGATTCAGGCGGGTAGTGTAGACCTAGCCTCAGAAGTATCTGTCACTAAGTGCCTTCTAGTTACCATTGCCATTAAGGGTTCCATTGTTCCTGAAGATCATTGCTGCCCAGGATGGTCTGGTGATCACACAGGGAGAGGTAACCTTGGAGATGTCCCAGGACCAGCTCATTGAGCACACTGAAGATCAAAGCCAGGACTTTAATCTTGAGCCAGCATTCAATGGGTATCCGGTTAAGTGATTGGAATGAATAAAACAGTACTGTTATTGACCTGAATGTGTCAGAATGCAGGATGCTGCATCCTCCACTAGTCAGGACCGGCTCCAGGGTTTTTGCTCCTCAAAAAAAAAAAAAAAAAGCCGCGATTGCAATCGCGATTGGCGGCACTCCAGCGGCAGGTCCACCACGCCGCTTTCTTCTTCGGAGGGAATTTGGTGGCAGGTGCTTCCCTCCGAGAGGGACCCGCCGCCGAATTGCCACCGTGCCGCCCCAAGCACTTGATTGCTGGGCTGGTGCCTGGAGCCGACCCTGCCACTAGTTGAGGTTTCTATAATGAATGCAGAGGTTTGCAGTAATCTAATCTAGTTTGAAGGTTATAAATGCATAGATTACAGTGGTCAGGACTGTAACTGATGGGATGCAGCATTATCTGCTGGCCAGTCAAATGTGGAAGGCATCATTTTTTCCCTGTTCTATTTGGGTAGCAGCTGTGAATAAGCAATCTGATTTTTAAGATCCATTTTAAGGCCCTTTTACTCTATCAGAGGGGTATATGGGAGTCTGATAGGGCTTAACCACATCACCTCCAAGGTTAGAGAATACTGATCTCAAAGTCCTCACCCTCTTAAGGGGTGCTTTTATTGAGGTCCTGCAGGGATCTGTTCTTGGCCCAATGCTATTAAATATTTTTATTGATTTATCTAGGAGAAAATATAAAATTGCTTGTAGAACTTGCAGATGTCACAGAAATTGATGGAGAAGTAATGGTGATAGGTCAGTTATACAGACCGATCTGGATCACTTGGTAAGGTGGACTCATTTGAATAATTTATATTTTAATACACTCAAATGCAAGGTCATATATCTAGGAACAAAGGTCACTGTAGCAGAGTATTTCTGGATCTGGCACGAGAACCTCATATTCCCTTTCTTGGGAACTGCACCAAAGTTCTCATGTTTGTCAAATAATATCCCTTCCTGAGATATGGTTTATTAAAACAGCATCACAGTTCAAATGTCAACTTAAATCAGAATAGGTGTGTGTGTGTGTGTATATATGCAGTGAATTATATATATTTTATATAATTATAAAGGTTCCCTTCCCCCCCCCCAAAAACAGCTGCTGCTGCTCTGTATTTCCTCTGGCCAATTTTTCTTAAGGATTCTGCTCCTGCCCTTCCCTGAAGGTAGCTCCAGCCTGGCCTTTGCATCTGCATTGGGTGGAGAACTGCCACCTCAGTCCTCTTTGAGTCTACATCTCGAGCTGGTCTCCCTTCACTGATGAAGAAGGTTCCCTCTTATAAGTCGCACGCCAGGTTACTAACTGGAGATTTGATCCTCTGGCTCAAGTGAAATGCTGGCTCAAGCCCATCACCTGGGGACAGATAACTAGACACAGACAAGGCTGAGCTCAACTCCCTAAAAGAGCCAGTCCACCCTGTGACAATCACATTTACAAGATGGGGGACTGTATCCTGCAATGCAGTGACACTGAAAAAGACTTAGCTGCTGATCCATCACAGACCCCTGAGCATGACCTTCAGTGTAATGCTGTAGCTAAGAGGGTGAATGTAATCCTTAGATGTATAACCAGGGGAACAGTAAGTAGGAGGAGAGGGGTGGTTTTGCCTCTGCATATGGCATTGGTGAGACCATTATTGGAATACTATGTCCAGTTCTGGTCTACACACTTTTAAAAGGATATTGAAAATTTGGAAAGGATTCAGACAAGAGCTATAAAAATGATTTAAGGTCTGGAAAACCTGCATTAGTGAGCCACTTAAGAAACTCAATCTATTTAGTTTATCCAAGAGAAGGTTAAAAGATGACTTGATCATGGTCTAAAAGGATTTCTTTCGGTACACACCTCTTTAATCTTGCAGAAGGCAAGTTGGAAGCTGAAGCTGAACAAATTTGGACTACAAATAAGTCACAATTTGTTAAACAGTAAGCATAATTAACCACAGGAACAACTTACCTCAGGCAATGATGAATTCTTTATCACTCAAAGTTTTTAAGTTGAAAAGAACATTACGGGCTTTATGCAGAAATTAGTGGGGGACGTTCTATGGCAGGAGATCAGACTAGATGATAATGATCCCTTCTGCCCTTGAAAAATCTATCAATCAACATCAAATGACATTCTGAATAAATCTCCTGTGGAGTACGATCCTGTTAAAGTTTGTTATTTTTCTGAAAGAAGAGAATCTAATCTTTGATGTTTGAGTGTGTGTATGTATATAAATAAATGATGCGCATACTTGATAGTGTAGAGGTTTATTCCTAGGAATGTGGGACTGCTTCATAATTCAGAGAAGTTAAAGCCACGTTCAAGGTATCTAGGTGATTTCAAACTCTATGTCAATAAAACCTGTTCCAGAAAATATTGAAGCACTGTCATGTTTGTTAAGCCATTTTATAGTGTAAGGTTTATGGCTTTTTTTATTGGGATTATTTTTGTATCTATCCTCTGTAATGCTGGCTTCTCTTAGTACTATGGATCATACTGTAGAAGTCTTGGGAGAGAGAGAACAATACATTCTATTTTTAAAACTTCTAATATACCTTTTCTATCAAATAGGTGGCCACAATGTAAAGTCACACACATTTTGCAGTGCTCTAAAGCTACAACCAAATGCTTTATACCACTGAGAAGGGGAGAGTCCCAATTCTTTAATGGGATAAAGGATCTGTTGCTAGTTGAGATGTTTCTATATCGAATCATAGAAACATAGAACAGGCAGGAACCTCGAGAAATCATCGAGTCCAGCCCCCTGCACTGTGACAAGACCAAGTAAACCTAGACCATCCCTGACATGTATTTGTCCAACTTGTTTTTTTAAAGACTTCCAATGATGGGGACTCCATGACCTCCCGTAGAATTCCAAAGCTTAACTACCCTTATAGTTAGAAAGTTTTTCCTAATATTTGTTGTAAATCTCCCTTGCTGCAGACTAAGCTCATTACTGCAATGGACATGGAGAAAAATTGATCACCATCCTCTTTATAACAGCCTGGAAGACTGTTATAAGGTCGCCCCTCAGTCTTCTTTTCACAAGACTAAACATGCCCAATTTTTTCAACCTTTCCTCATAGGCCAGGTTTTCTAAACCCTTTATCATTTTTGTTGTTCTCCTC